GTGCTTGGGTAACATTTACTGGTGGCGTAACAAGATTAGGTACGGGCAGAGCTCCCTTTTGCGCCATCATGCTCCTCATGTTTTCCTGGACACCAACAGTCGTCGAAGCGCCATTCATTACACCAGAACCTCCCCTAGTCACCATTGGATCTTGGATTGGCACGCCATGGAGCCCGGGCATGGGCAAACTGCTGCCGCCTACTGCGGTTTGAGCATGTGTTACTGTGGCCGTGTTGCCATGAGCCATAGGCTGATTGGGGCCTACTTCTCATTGGATTTGATTTTGCGCTCCGACGGGAATAACTCCACCACCAATTTGATTTCCGTTTGGCGCCGGTGCAAAGTTAGAACTCATCACCAACATGGTGTGAGTGAGATTCTAAAGAGTGGTAAGAATCTCCTGCTGAGTATTTTGAAGTCCTTGAATGGCTTCAAGCAAAAGTGGTTGATCTGGAGCCGTGGTTCTGTCATCACCACCATTAGAGGATCCTTGTTGGTGAACTTCATCTTCTCCCACCATCCTTATTGGAGTTGTGTGGATTCCAGATCTCGTTGAGACCATTAACCAATCCGCCTCCCCAGCAGAGTCGCCAAAATGTAGGAGAGGGTTCAAGAAAGGAGTTGGAAAATTCGAAGATCTTCGAAGATCCTTGAAGAACAACTTCGAATTCTCTAGAATATGATGAGAGGCTTAGATTCTTCAATAATCTCAACTTAGGAACACAACAACAAAGGAGATAATGGAGATAAGAGATTGGGTAAAAAAGAAGAAAAAGTAGTTAGAGACAAAATAATGGCATGGCTCTCCCATAAATCTCTCACTTTCACTCTCAAGGTAGATAATGGAGAAGGCAAATTAGTTCTTTCCCAAGAGTTAAAAAATCTCCAAAATCCATCCCCTGTAAAGCTATGGGTGGGTACTGGTGCTATTTTTATAGGCACGCTCATGGATGTAGGATGAGCCCAGTGCAAGGCCCAGGGGAGATTCTCTCTAACCGACCTTGTCCGCTGGAGGTGACCTCCTCCGAGGAGGTGAACTCTCCGAGAGGTGACTTTCTCCGAGGCGAGAAAACCCGAAGATGGAGATCAATCCCTCGGCGAACCCTTCTCCTTAGCCAAACCTAACCATGATCCAATCATCACCAAAGGGTCAAAGGGGTAGTCCCAGAGGACGTCCTGCGCAAAATATGCCCGAGTCTCATGGCCCCGGGGTCGTGCTGCACTCGACCCGGTAAGGCTGTTTAACGAAGAGTGAATTTATCTCACTCACCGTCCTCAGGATCGGTTTTTTTCCTATTGTTCGGACTCCATACGCCCATCAGTTCTGGTACGTAGATCCCGGAAAGCCTCCTGGCCGCAAGTGTTTGGGACTCATTAACGGAGCGACTTCCTAGATGTTCCTGAATCCGTTCGAAGCCAATGTTTTCGGACCTTAGGTTCGTGGACCGAACCTTCGAGTCCGAGTGCCTCGGATCTCTATGCTGCTTAAACCTCTTCGATCCGGGCCGAGTAATCTCCTAGGTTCGTGTCCGAACCCTTTCGAGGCTTGAGCCATGTAGCCGTTTGGATGTGGAATGTAAATCTGTCCGCCAGTCTGGACTTGCGATAAATTCGGCCACTAATCTGGGCTATTGGGCCTAAATATGATTTAGTGCTCAAAATGTAGCCGCCCTCTTCAACATATTTCTTTTATCTTTCAATAGTGAACGTACAAGAGATGCAACATAAAGAAGGAAAGATACAACTTAGAGGGATCATAAATGCAAAACTTGGAGATTGATGAAAATAATCTCCTTAACTATCTCAAGAAAACCCATATTTAACATTTAAAACCCAAATTAAGCAAATACATGAACCTATGAATCCATGGTATACGCTCAGGTCAAATCCAACCCTAATTTATGAGGAAAGCTCCTTCAAATACTGAGCAATCAATTAAGTTTAGGATAATATCTTAACACTTATTGACTCCAATCTTTGACTCCTTCTCTCAAGTCTCTAGCTCAGTATTCTG